CCCCCCCCCCCAGCCTAGTCTCTGACACAGTATATGAAATCGTCAGTAAATCCAGTGTGAAAAACAGAGGGAGGGGACGAGGGGGGATGAGTCATCCCAAGTCCCTCAACTGCATTCTGACGTCCATGGAGGACTACTAACGTGGCTTGTGGTGCCTTCTAATGCACCAGTTCAGTCACGCTTCCTGCAGCACTACAGCCTAGTGAATTCTTCCGATTTTCTGAAGAGAAACTGAGGGCGATTGCTGCCTCTTTGTTGCCATGTTGCAGGCCTTTCCATTTTGATCTGCAAAACATCTCCTTCACATTTCTAACCAGAGAGTTTGTAAAGCCCATTGCAGCTGTAGAGGCCTATGAATTCCCCCACACAATACATAAACACGAGGTCATTCAGTATGAGGTAGGAAAACATATTTGGAGTGAAACATGCCGATCCTTTGTGGAAAGAGTCTTCCCCAATTAAGCATGTTGCTCTGCATTAATTAGAAATGCCTCATTAATGTCTGTTCTGTTTGGGACCTTCCATTTTCTATATATTTATTTTTATATGGAAATGTTCCCTTTTTATTACTTTGAGCCGTGCCTTTTAGCAATTTCCATTAAAGCAGCATATTATGTGAACTCTATACGTATATGTAGAATACGAAAAACTGATCACCTCCTGGTGTTGATTTTACACAATCTATTTTTACAAATCTAACATTATTCTACATTTAACATGTACTGCATCATAGTAGACATTTACTTACTACAAAATGTACCTACTGGTAATCAAACATAACCTTAGTCAAATGAGACCAATACTTACCAATATATTCAATGGCTTCTATAAACCAGGAGCTGATATCCTCTTTGTGATTATCTTCCACTGGAATACATTTGTACTGGTACAGCCCTTCAAAGTGGTTCGGACAGTTTGAAGACACGTTTAATAAGGCAGAAATTCCCATTGCATCTAGCATGTCTTTCCTGGAAGCATGGTAGGCACTGCCCAGAAAAAGAAAGGGCAAGATTTCTACTGGGCCACCCTAATGGAAAAAAGGCAGAAAAAGTAGTTAAGATAAATGGCAGCACAATGATACAATGCAATCAGATTTTTTATTCAGAATAAAGGTTAAGGGTGGTTTGTAAAATTACATTGTCAATGTCAGGAGGACAATTGGCCCATTTAGATCATTAGCAGCTAATTGAGCCAAAGATTTATTTCAGTCATTTCTTGACAGAAGCCAGGGAATCAGCTTTAACAACATGACTGGGTAGCTTGAACCATGCTCCCACAATCCTTTGAGAAAATAAGTGCCTGCTGTTCTGAGCATGAATTGAAGTTAAAATACGTGGAGTTGTAATTTGATACTTTTCCAAATCAGACGTTGATATCAAAAGGGATATTGAATTCAACACTACTTGTAGTTATAACCTTAACCACAGTTTAAATTATTTTTTTTGAAAAATCCTTTCACATTCTCCTATACGCTCATAAAACACATCACCAAATCTTGTGGTCTTAACCCTGAGCTATAATACAGAGAACAAAGAAGAATAACCCATCTACCCATCTCTTTTGGTAATTTACCATGAACACAAAATTTCCGATTCATTTCCTATGCAGCAAATAGTAGACCTTAGTATATTGCAAAAGCTAGTTTACTCTTTGGATAGCATGATAAGAGTAAAATCAATGCTATCAAATTCCGCAAGTGGTCAGAATGGTAGTAAACATGTAATTATAAAGATTATTTCTATTAAATCAATAAGTTTAAAACACAATTTTGTGTCTACCAACTCACCCTTCCCTGATGCTAAATGCATAAAGAAAAATCGAAGGCCTTTTTATAACCATGCACTGTTATTATCCAACAGAGATAAGGGAAGCGGATGACCTAAATCAAATCAAGGGATATTACGCCTAGATAAAGCAAGTACTGTATTTCTTTAACACCTTCCGGTTATACAACCAGAGGTGATGCTGGGATGTTACCTGGTCATGATGGGGGGTGCCGCAGGAAGTACAATTAGTTTCTGTCGCGTCGAGACTTGACTGGGAGGAATTGCTGGAGAGCGTTTTGGTTTTTAAACAGAATTCGGGATACTCGGAGAAGAATTTGTCGTAGCCCCCTAAAAACGCAGAGAGAGAATTGAAAAAAAAAAGTAAATTTAAGGAAGGAAGTTTCGAACACATGCGCCTTATTTGAGAATATTTAACACATTAAAAAATTACAGTATAGCACTAGAACAGTTAAAATAGGATAGTTAGAGTTTTGTAAAAAGCTTAATGCGATCGTGAATAAATCTGATAATTGTAACAGTTCAGAAGTGTCTTTAACTATGTTTAAATGTATAATATTGAAGCTCAAGTGCATTTTATTTCAATTGTTCGTGTTACACTAAACGTTATTTTGTGGTCAGGTTGCGTTTCTTTTTTTCTATCTTGAAATCTTGAAATGAAGTTGGATATAAAAATACGGTTATACTGGCAGGGGTTCAGTAATCTGAGTGTTAATGTTTTCTTCTATAAAATAAATCGTAGTATAAACAGTAACAATAGGCAGTTTTCACAACAAATTACATTGAGTGTCGTGTAGATTTGTATATTTCTATCACTTTGCAATTCTAATTAAGCTGTCCCGTGAATTTGACAGAATTGATTCTACTTTAAGCGTTTGGTATAGACTAATGAAAAACCTATCTGTAATAAAGAACACAGTACTGTCCGCTTACATCGCAGTAATTGCTAATTCTAAGGTCACTGAGAAATAAGGCGAAGTGCTTAACAACAGTATGCAAAAATACATGGAATTCCTTGAAATGCTCACTAAACGTAAAAAACAGAAGTATACACATGCTTTTATTCTAGGGATTTTATTGGGACTTTATTTGAGCGAGATATTTCACAAAAATAAAGTATGATATCTCTTTCTGAAACTACACTTAATTGCTCCACAGCTCCATATCACAGGATATAAACTAAGGCGCATTAAAAACGTTTGTTACCAGTTAGGTGCGTTCTAAATGCCTCTCAGTGCATTTATTATGTAAAGGACTAGAATCTTTGGTCATTAACGCGTGATTAGATTCTGTTGTTTTTCTCCAAAATGGGGATCGAATTTATTCTGCGTTTACTAACATTTTCTGCCTTTCAATAATTTTGGTAATTGTGCTGTCTTTATCTGGTGACATTGGTTCATTGTTCATTTATTACAATAAAAGCACCGTTTCTGTCACAACACTCAGCACAAAAGACGAGCTTTCAAACATCCCCTCAAACTTAATTATCATTTTGAATGAAGGCCATGCTGAAGCATAATAATAAAAAGGCTTTACTACTGTTGTTTCTCCAGGTCGTTTTTAAGTAGGTAACATTGAATTGTGTCCACAATACCATATGGTTTGTAATTTCTGATACATAGTCATAAAACCGCCCTTAAAACCGTTATTTTAGTAACCATTTTGCATGTAGGTTATTCACTGCTCAATCATACATTATTATAATAACTCTTATTAATAAAATAAGAGTTAAGATTTCTCCAGATGTCTATTGAAAAATTGACTATAGCATCTGAAAGACTGTACTGTATAAGAGGTTTATATTTTCTTTAAACAGTGACAACTGCAGTTAGTGAAATACACGCTATAGCTGGTGCTCCCTGTGTTTAAACAATACATCCAGTTTACGGGTTTCAACATTACATCATCGCTACAGTGCGCACTTAATATTATCCTGCAGAAATACTGTAGTTTGAAGCTCTTGAAACAACTTATCTGATATATACAGTTGGATTAATCCTAATTTGTGTTTTTTGTGAAGTGTTTAATTTATATTTAGCCCTTATAAATAAATATAATTTACCACTGGGGCGAACTGGGTTCATGTCTCTTCGAGTCAGTGATTGCTTCTTTGCTAGAAAGACATCGCTACCTAAAGAAATGCAATATGTACGTGAATCACGATTCAATTCACAATCGGTGTTCTGGCAGATCATTTCTATTTATCGAGGTCAACTAAATAATTTGTTCAAGATCAACCTGCATTGAATTGCTGACAGAACACACTTTGCATTTTTACCTTTGAGCAGATAGATTTCAGTCCCATAGGAATCCCTATATAATGCGTTAAGTACCAAAGTAATTGTGCTGTCGTCTTTTATGGAGTCCGCGTGTGGCGTCCGCTCATCATAAAGAATAACGGCGGAGTAGAGTCCGGATTTCAGTCGGGATTTGACCTCCTCATCGCCCGCAAGAATCTGGTCCAAACTGACCGAGCCCTTCGCTCGCCGTCTCACGATGGTGTTACAGCGGATATTTACCGAACCATGGATGTGTCCAGCGCTGTAAGCTAGAAATGATCTGCAGTCCAGCACCAGACATTTCCCCGTGTCGTCCTTCAACAACCTTTTCAAAACATTACAATCCATCTCACAAAGTTCGTCCATCGTGACCATTTCTCTGTGCGATTGCAGTACGAAATATTTTTCTTATTACTATGTCTTGAAGAAAAAAGAAAGAAAAGATGAAAAATGAGACAATCAACAGCAATCCAGTTTATATACACGCAGCCCTTTTGCACTGTTGCTGTACTGTGTTATTCTCCTGAGAGGAATACTATCGCAAGCGGTAACCTCTCCTTCCTTTTTATGAATGGAGCTTCAGAAACCAGCCCCAAATAAGGTGAGTGGCGTCACAAGGGCGAAGACGTCATCTACTAGCACCATTCATTAACCCTTCTTTCTTTTCTTTTCATTCATAAAAAAGCAGCACCGCCGGTAATCAATGGAAGGCGTTAGAAATTAAAACAGTGTCAGACGCTGTAAATTAAACCATGGTTCACGACGAAAGCTTTTTTTTTTGTAATCAATCTAATGTAATTAGTCTACACAAGCCAAAAAGCTTATCGTGAACATTTGAAATCATAAAATGACATGGTCGCTCATTTTTAATTACTGTTTTTTATTGTGTAGGAAAACAACACTTTCATACAGAGATGCGTGTTAGCAATCATTTGCGTGCAACCGAAGGGAGTATAATTATTTTCTGAGATATATTATGGACAAGACAGCATATTCGCACAACCGCATACCTCCCTACACGTGTTTTCAGCGTATGTGTGACAGGTTTTACAATATGTCCCTACACTGTAAGTGCTTTAAAGTAGGTAAAGGATTATGTCTACGACTGTTCAATGCAGCTAAACTAAATTACTATATTCTACCCACGTAGGCTCAACGCTTGGCAGCACATGTGGCGAAGTGGGGGCTCTTCAGACAGAAGTCCCTCCCCCGCCTCCTTTGTTGAAAACGATTTCAAGCCAAATCTCCGATTTACAACAAATTCTTTGAATTTGGGGGACAGACAGATATCTTTATTTCAATCTACAGTTGATAATGATTGTGATGCTTTCATAGTTGTGAACTTTCTAATTGCACCTCGATAAGTGCCCCGGATAAGCAAATAAAAATGAATATTATTATGGTGAGATCTGATCACAGTGCGATGTCTAGGAGCAAATGCAGAAAACAGTATGCAAATGTACTTGTATACTGTTTCATTTCTTACACATTTTGTTTGCGCTGGATCTTCGTTGTCCCTTCGTTTGTGCTGACTTTATTATCAATATAATCGTATTCATTTATATTTAATTTATTGAACCTGTGCGATTGTTCCTTCCTTGTTCTTGCACTAAAATACATTTTATTCACTAATTTTATAAATCGCCTCGATAAAGGCCCCGGATAAGCAAATAGATTATATATTTTATGATGATGTGATCTGTTTTCAGTTCTATGCCTAGGATCGAATGCACTAATGCTGCCATGTAGATTAGAGGGAAATTATAAATTTGAAAAGATTTTGCATTTGTGGTTTTTGGTAACTACGTTAAAACATATTGTGATCATTATATTCTCATCAACAGCATTGAAATAGTACATCTCTTATTCGTTCAGTTTTTTTTCCAGTTCAGTTGTGTTTTAGGCCATTTTAAATGCCAGGAGAATACAAGAATGCGAGACTACATTTGAATGGCAGTTTTACTCCTTAATCTTTGTTGAGTCTTTGCTTCTCTGTTATTATCAACTTGCCACTGTTTTCCTGCAGCACACTCCTCAAACGCCACAGTGCACCACAGAATAAGATTCCAAGGGCTCTGCAAAATTACACTTTTCACCTCCATATTCTCGTTGGTAAGCTTTGCTATCCCATCCATCTTGTTTAATAAAGCACATGGACGATTCTTAGGAAGGAACATGGACACCAAATGATGGCACAAAGGCGAATAATCAGACATTTTGTCTTTGGGATAAGACATTATATAGATACCAAGTTACCTTATTTAGCAAAATCCAAATTAAGAACCATCCGAAAGGCCACACATGAGAGGAGGCCATGTTCAGCTTGTTCTCACTTGGTTTGAGTTCTCTTGTGTTTGTTCTGTGGTTGGTTGTATGAAATACCCAGCAGAAAGGGACAATTAAGAGGAACGAGCCAAACCTAACCTACATGTCGTGGGGAGGTGGGAGGAAACAAGAGCACCTGACAAAAAAACCTTGCAGACATGGAAATCAAATGCAAACCTCACACCCACGGGCAATCCAAGCTTGCACATGACCCAGGACCCTGGAGACTTGGCTCTGTAGCTGCTGTGCAACACCTCACTTCAGGTGTGATTGAATCCAGTTCTCAGAGTTTAAGAATGAGAAGAAAACATTCTAAGTTTATTTGTTTTGTGTGAATGAGAAATTTGCAAAGCTTTACCTTTTTATTCAAATAGCAGCATCATTGCCTACAGTTAAAAAAGCTTGTCACATGTAAGCGAAATAGGAAAATGAAATACTTCCATGACTTATGTGTTTATGTGTATTGAACATTTACATTTGCTTTTTTTTTTTTTTACAGCTGCATATTCCTAAAAGAGGTTTACCCACCCTGTATGAATTGTATAAGCCGGTGTAAGCAGGCATTAAAGCTTTTTAAGAGGTATTCCAAGAATTAAGAGAACTGTAACTAGAAGTCCAGACCAAGCAATCAGTTACATGCCTACCTGTTTATGAATTTTGAGGCTGTCCAGAAGCAGTAATGTACAAAATTAGAATTTCCTCCTCTCAACAAGAGCCAAATAACTGGAAAAACCATGTGGATTACATTTACATTGGTTACATTTACGTTTATATGGGTAGGTTTACTCATGCGCTTTGACCCCGAGTGTCTCTCCCTGTCTGTGTGTCTCATGGAGAGCAAGTTGGGGTATACGAAAAGACAAATTCCTAATACAAGTAATTGTATATGGCCAATAAAGTGATCTTTTCTTATCTTATTTATCAATACGGTTTGGATATGAGATGGACCAACAGACAAGTGGCATACTGTTTAGGATAAATGGCAAGAATTCACTTTAGGGTTTGCAAATGACACTTCATAAATACACAATAAAATGCCTCTAATTAAAAAAAAACACTAATAATTCATTAATGTATGGATAGTCTTATTATTGTACGTAAATGTACAATGTATCATTTGACTGAGTTAGGTTTTACCACGTTATAAGTACGCTGTTAATTTGTGTATTTATTGACAGAAATAAAGAATTAAGAAATTCATTTTTTCAGCCCCTAGTCAAAGGCTAATCACTAAAATATTTTAAAAAAAAATGTAAAATTGAAGTAAAAAAAATTCAGTGTATGCTTTCAGGCAGTTCAATTGAAACACAATTCGCCAAAATTCTCAGTTGGTGATTTATTATAACCAGAGAGCAAAAACATGAGCCATTACAAGGGGTACAAATAATCTTATCTGCTAAAATATTAACTGATTTTTGTTTAAGGGAGTTCTCTCCCCCATAATTTGATTTAAACACAACCAAAAGTATGGAAATATTCTTAATGTTTACAACTAACTCTGGATTACTTTGTAGTTTTTTATAGTAAAAAAAAATGTTTAATAATTTTGATGCCCAACAGATTGTATCTTTCTTTGTTAGTTATATAGACTAAGATAGCATAAAACTAACCCTGGCTCCTGTGGATAGAAGTGATTTAGCCGGTTTTCCAGGTTCAACAAAACAACATCCAGTCTTTAAAGTTAACTAAAATGATCAAGTCTCATATCTCATGTGACATGTATAAATTGCTAGTACACAGCAACTGGATTGATTATAATATGGAATCTAATAAATGTTGTATCCGTAGCCCATTTTAGTGAGATGCCAGCTGTGTCAGAGGCTTATTATTGTAAGAGAGATTTGATGTGGTGAAATAGTAGGCTAGACTTCTATTGAGAATTTAGTCAGTAAATTTTGTAATGTATCAAGATACAGGAGATAAAACCCTCACTGGATCTGGCAACTTTATTTGAAATGAAACCTTTAAGCTTAGATGACTTTCAGAACAATAACAATTGTACTGGAATTCCTGAAAGCTCTATGTGGTCTTACACTGTCTCATTAAACATTGTCTTAGTTATTGTAATATAATCAAATATACCCTTTCTGGAATCAGAACAGTATAAGACAGGCAGGGTTATATGTGATTCCCTTCTCAGCATGCACGGGCCCTGTTCGCAGGTCTCATTGGATTTGCTGATAGTCCTCATTTCCTGCAGAGAGCAGGTGCTAGCACACCTCATGTATATCAATGACCTATAACTGCTGATGAGTTGAACCACTACACTGGGGGCTCAGTGACTGACTCATTTTGTTTCTCTTTTCATTATCAGCACTTAAAATTCACACCAACTATTTCACAATTTTGCGATAAAATGTGGGTGTGATTTCCCTTGTAGAGCAAAAGGGTCTCTCTCGAGACAGAAAAATGTCCACTGGTGCACTGTCGTATTAGGGAATGGATTGATCGTGATGAAAGAATTAGTAGCTTAAAAAGTAATGCAAAAAAACTATATATAGGACAACAGAAGAATTTTTTTAAATACAGGTTTTATGTCTAATTATTTTGTCCTAACACATTATTTGAAATGCAGCATTTTAGTCCTATATTCTCGTATTACTTCCATGTCACTTTGGGGATGTTTTCAGTCTTGGCGTGATTTCTGATGATTTTGTAAACATGCAAATGTGTCTGTCTGCTGAATTAATTTGGATTTTAGAAATAAGAAAGAAATCTGGTAGTGATATTTTTTATATTTTGTCAATAGATCAGAATAAGACATTTAAGGCAGATCTGTGTCCATATGGAGAAGATATGTCAAGCAGTTAGCAAAATCCATTGCTTTTTAAGACAAATTTTGTTATTCTTTCCATGGTACAATCTTACTGGGCTATAACAAGGTTACTGGTCAGAGGAAGAGTGTTGAATGGTAACATAAAGCCGAGAATGGATGTCCCTTCTCAGAAGAGGGGTTGAACTGAATTAAGGGTGGTGATGTTCAGAACTCTGCTCTGAACTTGTTAACTGAGCTCAGAGGCATAGAATTTGCATCATTTAACAGAAGCTCTTCTGGCATATGAGACTATTTGCATAGTGTTTAACATGGGCAGGGTATAGTGAAATACTGAAGAAAAGATATCTTAATAGAAACTGACTCACAGCAGCAATGAACCAAGATCTTTTTTTGTGTGTGTGAAGTCACTGTCTTTAAAATGGCCTCAATACTA